TGTTTTTATCTTTTAGCTGCTGACGTAGGAGAGGTGAGTAAATGACGAGTAGACTCTCCTGTGGGGTTATTGGACAACGTGTTTGAAGATAGAAGTGGGCTGATGGAGACGATTGCTCTCTGGTGCGCTACCTGTACTCTCGGTGTGTGTTTTTACATTTTTTAAAGGATTATGAGACAAAGATGAATACTGATACTCTTTTACAGCGAAGGGAATGTGAAATATTGTACTACATTAAATATTTAACTGGCTGCTGCATGTCACATGGCAAATGTATTTCAGTTTATCTGTTGTGCACCACGAAACTGCTGGGTCCAAAGTTGGAGGCACTGACGTCAGTTGAATATGGGCGAGGCTACTGCAAGCATCTCACTAATGATTGTCAGATAAACCCCAAACGTTCTGTTTTGCATGGTTTTCTTTTATGGAAATGATCCCAGCTGCTTCTGCTAGCACAGGTGGTTCTCCAAAGCTACAAATACCTCTGGAAAGGTATCAAAATATACAATATACTGCCAGAAGTATTCAGTCACCCATGCAAATCATTAAATTCAGGTGTTCCAATCACTTTTGTGGCTGCTTTCATGAGAAAAAAAATCACAGAGTGGGGTCAGTAGTGCACAGAGGTCAATAACTTTCTGCAGAGTCAATCGCTGCAGAGCTCTAAACTTACTGTGGCCTTAAGATTAGCTCAAGAACAGTGTGTAGAACACTTCATGTAATGGGTTTCCATAAAGGTCCATAAAAACATGGATGAGTCCTGACCGCAACCTCTGCGATTAATTAGAGGACAGGAAAGTCTTCCCAGAAGAGTTGAAGCTGCAAAAGGTGGGCCAACGTTATATTAAACCCTATGGACTAAGAATGAGATGTCACCCAAGTTCATGTATGTGTGAAAGCAGCAAAGCGAATACTTTTGGCAATATAGTTTATCGTGTTCACTCATGTCATTGTGCTTACATCTATTAATTCACTATATAGACCCAACTGTAGTACAACTGAGGGTGATCAAATCAGCAAAAGGGAGATGATCAGCACTGGTTAAATTGCAAAGTCCCACAGCAGTACATCCAATAAGTTTCCAGAATTTGAATGTAAAACATCCTGAAGTAAGAGTCTGAAAGTAAGTAGAGGCAAGGCAGAATACATGTGTGTGTGAATGGGAGTGAGGTAGGTGGAAAGGAGAGGCTGCAAAGAGTAGAGGCAATGATGGTGGATAAGTTTAAATACCTGGTGGTCAACCATTCAAAGGGAAGGTTTGGACACAAAGTTAGAGAGACAGCGTTGGTTTTGACATCTTCAGAGGAGGGATAGTATTGGGCAAAGCATGTTGACTATGGAGCTGCCAGGTAGGAGCAAAAGAGGAGAGACAGAACCAAAGCTCCATCTATGACATCTAATCCATGTTTTCTCTTTGATATATAAAATAATACTAATAGAAACTTAGAAAGGTAAATTCTGGGTACCAGAAACTTTACATAGCAGGTAACTAAACATGAGCGATGTGACCTCCACTACAATTAAGATTATATAATGATATCTTTGCATGCTAATCATCTGATCAGTGGTGCAGCGTATATGTGTGATGTGTGATGTTGCATTTCCTTTCAATTCAGGAGTGGTGCCAGTGTAGGAAAAGTGGGCACACTGGAGGAGGGGAGGCGGGGGGCCCTATCCTTTTAGCAAGTGTGTACAATCACGTCCCCCGGAGAGCTCTATGTGACACTTACCACAGAGCCAGGGTGTGGGTCCCACCCTCTGTGTTTTGGCTAGGGACCGGGTATTGTGCTATGTCACGCTGTATGCCTGCACACACACACTCTGATGCCTTCCTAGAACATAGTGTCAAAGCGGATGCCATCCAAAAGTAAGGCTAAGGTGTCAGTGGCTACTTGCTTTCCACTGTTACACACTCCCACCAAACGGGCGTGATGTGTGAAACAGAATGGGAACGCAGTAAGTCAGCATTTATTTCATTTTGCTCCGTTTCCGCCCTTTTTGCTGGATTTATCTTTCATCTTGCCTTTTGTGAAGGTTTCATTGAGAAGGAAAGGCCCCGCCGTAGGAGGACTCGCCCCGCCGTACGTGACTTTGAGAATGCTGCCAATGCCCATTTGAAAAATAAAAATAAAAAAACAAAACAAAACAAAGGAAATGTTAATGTCTGTGTTGATTGATTGATACTTAAACATTATAATTATATTACATAAGAAAAAATAGTAAAAAGGGGCTTGGTTCATGAGTAAATCATTGTTTAAGATTTTTACTTTTATAGGGAGCCTTTAACTTTCACTTTAGTTATTGGGCACTTGAAGGAACAACAGTGGCATCCTTCCATTTTATATCCACAAGTTTTCTGCAATATGTAGCCCTGAAGAATATATAAACAATCTGTTTTCATGCTGGCTGCAGGGATGTGAGAGGCCTCCTGCAGAGGGGCTTCGCACTCATATGTATGTGCTGAGAACAGTAACCGCCAACAGCAGTTCTCTCGCCTATTCTGGCCCAAACCCAGCGCAATAAATCTGTGAAAACTTCTCTTAGCTTCTCTCTTAGTAATTAAAACACAGACACACACACTAAAGTAATTCAAGTTCCCATTTGAAGAGCAGAATGTGAATGTGTGTGCATGACAAAAAT